CACTCGAGCTGGGCATGTGTTTGCGGATCAAGCTCTTCATCTCTCGCAGAACCGCGGTCTTGAAAGCGGTCGCTGCAGGTGTCGTGTGACGCACACGAGCAAGGCCTGTGAGATGCAGGTGCAACCGGGACCGTAATTGGTCATCAAAAGCCATATATGCTGGGGCTTGTGTAGCCCCTGTGCGCTGTCCTCCCCGCTGCCGCTGGAACGCAGAGCCCCATCGTTGTAATGTTGTATCCAAAGGCACGTTTTCGACATGCTGCCTCAGATCGCCCAGCAGGTCGCTCAAGAAACGGCTCTCATATCCTGTGCCAATGCGGTATCTCAGATGCGCCAGGTCGTCAGATGCGCCTTCCAGGGCCTTGAGCTTGCGCAAATCGATGGCTTTCCTCGGTTGCTCTTGTTTCTCGTTGCCATCGGGAGAGCCAGGGGTATACTCTCCGGCCATCAGTCTTTCCACCTCTTCTAAGCCATCCGCAGCCTCTTCGATTTTGCCGGTCTCGACCAGTTCCTCGCATCGGGACACCGACTGAACGACGTCACGGAGTTGCGCTACGGCATCCGCAAGCATACGCACATTCTCTCTCCTCCGACGCAGATTCACAATCTTGAGTCCACCCAGTGCCATCTCACGGTCAATCTTCTGTAAATCCTTCCGCAGAACCTGGATCCGTTTCACCGAGTCGGCGGCTTCTGCATGTAGCTCCCGCAGTGACCCCAGCGCGGTGAAGAAAGACTTAGATGCAGTCGAAATGGAAGAGATAAGGTGAATTTCCACAGTGTCCATATACCACGAAAGCTTCTCTTGTAGGATGGCATTCGTAGCCAGAGCCTTTCTACCCGTGGGTGCCAGTTCCAGGGCAGCTCCATTCTCTGGTTTATCGTTTGACGGTGTAACAATCTCAGACTTTTCCGACACGACATCGAAGGTGCGTGGGTTCTCTAGGTGGAAGTCGTCCTCGAAGTAGACCGTCGGGATGGTAGATAGAGGTGTGATAGCATGACCACGACCGCGACCGGCAAACGACCGCTTCCGACCCCGGGTATCGTACGGAGAAGTTGCTCGTGAACTGGTTGAGATGGCCGATGGTCGTCTCTCCCTGGACCTTGGGGCCAACGAATCTGATTCGTCTCCCTTGGGTGAAGACTTATCGCTACCCCGCGCTAGCTGCGACTCCTGATCTCCGGCGCTTTCCTTTGCTTGTTGGAAGACATCGTACAACGACCCAACTTGCGACAAGTAGGCTTCGAACGCTTTGGGATCCACATGCGGAATGTTGGTTAATGTGACAGGGGGTATATCGCGGGTAGTTGGCGGCTTGTATCCGGCGGAGGGGACAGCGGTATGGGGAACTAGGCCGGTGCGGACAATGGGAGGCTGCAGGAGAGTAGAGATGGCTGCGTCGAATTAGCATGCGATTGTCTTCATAGATCCTCTCACACCCCCATAGGCCGTACCATTCTGCCCGGACTCAGCTATCGATCCATGACGGTGGGAAGGATCCAAAATGCCCCCGATACTGGCAATCGAGCTGGCAGTCGACCCTCTCCTGAGAGGGTACCTCTGAGTCGACGCACGCGGCGATTCGATCTGATTCAGCGAGAATTGAGACAAAGAGGGAGTCGATGCGCCTGAAGCCAAGCTGTCAATGGACTTCCGGGGGGTCGCGGAGGACATATCGTCGATAGCGGATTAGCGACTCCCACAGCCACCGTGCTAGTAGTAGTACTCGGGAGAACGAACGACGGCTAACTACACATGACAAGGAGAAAAAGCTGCAACTCAAAGACGAAGGGGCATTAGTGGCGTTTAGCCAATGATCCCACACTGCCAGGGTATGAAGCCTGTGGTCTCAAGAGGAGAGAATGAAAGCCACGCCGAGAAAGCCCGCTTGCAACGTCACCCTCGACCCTCTGATACGGGGTTTGGTTCATGACAGCTTCCCCCGATCCGGTATGGCGCCAGGCCCCGAGACCGTGTCCACTAGTCTGCTTTGGGTACACCCCGGGAAGTTAGTATCTCCGGCTGCCGGGACCAAGTCTCGTGCTTGTGGACGCACTCCAAAGTACTGCCACACCACACCGCTAAATTTTTTAACAGAATCTCAGATGAGTTTTGTGGAGCTGTATGTTTCCAAAATCCGCTAAATCCGAGGTTTTTGCGACGAGGTTCACTAGTTTCTGCCGCCTCCAGCGGTCTGAGGAGCGGTGAGGAGTGTGCTCTCTGTCTCAGGCATGAAGAAAACCACTTAACGCGTGAAATCGACGCGACGCGTTCGGCTCGTGTCCCGCCGCAAAAGTTATTTGCAGTTCCTTTTTTGCCCTGGCAATGAGACGGTCCCGAAATCAACACATCTCACAATTCCCTCCCCGCAATCCGCTCTAGTGTCTTCACCATGGACAGACGCACCCCTTATACCCTGAGTGTCCTCGCTCCTAGTGTCGATGGTGTGGAAGACTCTCGCTCTCAGATTCGAGCAAAATTAAAGGAGTTTGTGCTCGAATTCCAGCTTGACAATGCATTCATCTACCGGTATGTTTAGCCCTGGGTCAGATACAGTGAAATTTAAAGTCAACAAAAGCTAAGGTGGATGACAGTGACCAACTTCGCCAGAATGTTCTGGTCAAGCAATACTATTGCGATATTGATATCGCCCATTTAATCTCATACAATGAAGAGCTAGCACACAAGCTCACCACCGAGCCTGCCGACCTCATTCCCCTTGTGAGTTCCCATCTCCTAGATCCTTGAACCTCACTCCTGACCAACAATGCCACTTAGTTTGAATCAGCACTCCAAGATTGTACTCGCCGCATTGTATACCCCTCCCAGAGAGACATCCAACTACCCACCCATCAGCTTCTACTCCACTCCTCAGCTACACACATTTCGATCCGTGATCTCAATGCCACCAACATCTCGCACCTTGTTCGTATCCCTGGTATTGTTATTGGCGCTTCGACGATATCATCCAAGGCAACAGTGATGCACGTTCGGTGTAAGAACTGTGGCCACCACGAAGATCTTCAGGTCGATGGTGGTTTCTCGGGTGTTCAACTTCCCAGAAGATGTGGCCGACAGCAGCAGCCCGGCGACCCTCAGTCGGAACCCTGCCCACTAGACCCATACGTTGTGTCTCACGAAAAATGTCAATTCGTCGACCAACAGGTTCTTAAGCTCCAGGAAGCGCCTGATCAAGTGCCTGTTGGTGAGCTTCCCAGACACGTCCTTATCTCGGCCGACCGTTACCTGGCCAACCGCGTGGTGCCTGGTTCCCGCTGCACAGTGATGGGTATCTTCTCTATCTACCAGTCCTCCAAGGGTGGCAAGAAGGATGGCGCTGTGGCTATCCGCAACCCGTACTTGCGGGCGGTGGGCATTAGCAGTGATCTGGATCATACCGCGAAGGGTAGCGCCATCTTCTCTGAAGAGGAAGAGCAGGAGTTCTTGGAACTGAGCCGGCGTCCTGACCTGTATGAGGCTCTTGCTAAAAGCATTGCCCCGTCCATCTACGGCAACCTGGATATCAAGAAGGCCATTGTCTGCCTGCTCATGGGTGGTTCTAAAAAGCTTCTTCCCGACGGAATGAAGCTTCGTGGTGATATCAACGTACTTCTCCTTGGTGACCCTGGTACAGCCAAGTCACAGTTGCTCAAGTTCACTGAGAAGGTCTCCCCGATTGCGATCTATACATCTGGTAAGGGTTCTTCGGCAGCTGGTTTGACGGCCTCGGTCCAGCGCGACCACGCTACTCGCGAATTTTACCTGGAAGGAGGTGCTATGGTGCTCGCAGACGGTGGTGTTGTTTGTATCGATGAGTTCGACAAGATGAGAGACGAGGACCGTGTGGCTATTCACGAAGCCATGGAGCAGCAGACCATTTCCATCGCCAAGGCCGGAATTACTACTATTCTCAACTCTAGGACATCTGTTTTGGCCGCAGCCAACCCTATCTTCGGTCGCTATGATGACCTCAAGACTCCTGGTGAAAACATCGACTTCCAGACGACAATCTTGTCTCGTTTCGATATGATTTTCATTGTCCGCGATGATCACGAGCGCAGCCGTGATGAGAGCATAGCCAGACACGTCATGGGTGTGCATATGGGCGGTCGGGGTGTTGAAGAGCAAGTTGAGGCTGAAATCCCGTTGGATAAGATGAAGCGCTACATCAGCTATTGTCGCACGTAAGTTGTCCTTCGCCTCGTATACCCGACATATGAGTCAGAAACACTAATACATCATTACAGTCGCTGTGCGCCCCGTCTCTCGGATGAAGCTGCTGAGAAGCTGTCATCGCACTTTGTCACCATCAGAAAGCAAGTCCACCGTGCTGAACTTGACGCCAACACCCGCTCTTCCATTCCCATCACCGTTCGTCAGCTTGAAGCTATCGTCCGTATTACCGAATCGTTGGCCAAGTTGAGTCTGTCTCCCGTTGCCACTGAGGCCCATGTCGACGAAGCCATTCGTCTCTTCTTGGCCTCTACCATGGACGCTGTCACTCAAGGTGAGGGCCAGGGTAGCAAGGAGATGATGGAGGAAGCAAGCAAGATCGAAGACGAACTGAAGCGCCGCCTACCTATTGGATGGAGCACCAGTCTGGCGACGCTGAGACGCGAATTTGTCGACGGAAGGGGCTACACGGAACAAGCACTCAACCGGGCATTGGTGGTTATGCAACGACGAGAAACCGTTCAAATCCGGTCCGGTGGCTCACAAGTATACCGACACGGTGTCTAGTACTTCTTCATGTCTGCTTTTGATTTCACACCTTGCGATCTTGTCACGAATAATCTTCCGATGTTAGTCTGCTGGGATGACTACGTATCAATTTGGGCTCGGGATTAACGGGGATGACTCGGTGTATGGCGTACTGCTTTGTTCACGGTGAACGACTGATCCGTTATTAGATGAGCGAATTTAACGAGAGACAATATAACAACAATAATATGGAATACCAACCAGTCTAGATGGGGAGGAAAGTCTTTGTATCAGCCTAACGCAATATGGATATATGCTCAGGATAACTCGAGGAAAGTGCAGTCCACTCTAACTGCATTGATTTGATTGATCTTGTCAGCCAGGTTGTTCATCATAAAACTTGTGATAGTCCTGGATAACAAGTCAGCTCTCTTATGGCCCCGAACACACTGGTGTCCCGGAACCCAATGAAGCTCGACCTTGACTCTCATCGAGCAGAGCCGGTGAGAAAGAGCGTCAACAAGACGCACTAGACGGCCAGCGAGTGGGCTCAACTTCTTTGTTCTAGGCCGCAGCATTTCCATGGCCGCTTGGCAGTCCGTGAAGACCTGGACAACATGACCTGACACTTGAAGGCGCTCCAGTCGGCGGACTGCTGCTCTAAGACCGGCCCCGATAGCAAACAACTCAGCCAACTGGCTGAGCCGGATCTCTTCGAGGCAGTACAGCTCGTCCGCGTCTTTTCCGCTGTGCCCGTGGATAACTGCGACTCCAGATGGCGCTGCTTCGTTGGCGGCTGTCGATCCGTCCACCCAGAAGACATGATTGTCATCTGGGGACGTCTCTGTCACCTCTCTGGCATAGTTCAAAGCTTCTTGACGAGGCTTGATCAGCAACACTCTGTCGAATCTATCATCCTTAATCCGGATGGTATTTGGAGGCTGCTGCTGCTGCTGCTTCTGTTTTTTTTTTTCTGACTCCCTGAGTGCTGCTTCCTACCCCCACGCTTGTTCGACTTCCTCGTCCTGACGGACTCGGTCGTTCCAGAAACGGAAGCAGCACCCCGATGCGGGTCTGCATGGCTTTGGGAATCTTCACTAGTGATAGTTCCGCTGTTATCACTACTACTAGTACTGCTGCTAGCACTTCTGCGCTTATACCGCTCGAAGACAGAGGCAGTACTACCCTCGTCTTCATTGGTTTGGGAATCTCGATTTCTCTGGCTGACGCCGTCAACCCCGTCAAGGTAAGGATCGATCGCTTGAGAACCTCGAGCGACGTCCTTGGCCCTCTGTGCCCTGCCTTTCCTGGAAGGAGGCGTGCGCCCTCTGGATCCGATGTTTCGAGGAGCTCTGTGACCCCAACTCATGGTAGTCACCGCTGTGGGATTCTCAACCTCCATGACTATATCCCTCTGCAAATAAATATAGTGAAATTCTTTCTGGGGGATTATACTTCGACCTCTTATGTGAAATATGATGCCAGGCAGCGTCTTACAGGTCTGATAAGAAAAAGGGAGATCGTCTTTGTTCGAAGAACTTGTGATGAGCTATTGTGGCAGTGGGCGAGTGGATGGTTTCGAGACAAGAGCGGATGGGTCTCTGCTCTAGAAGAGTCTCCCATCAGAGTCAAGTCGACAATCTTTACGTCGTTGAGAAACAACATGTATGCAGCATTATGACGAGATGTCCAGTCAGCCATCGAACACAACAGAATGCCGAGATGTCTGGTCCGGGGGCTTATATGACAGATTGGAGAGCCAACGGTACGAAATATGGGTCCAAAAAGCACTCAGTTCGAAGTCTGATGGAGCCTTTATTCTTACTGCAGCTCTGCGCCCACAACGTGAACCTATAACGTCAAGCTACTGCATTAAAATACTTCTATCGAAGCAGACTCTCAACCAAGGCTTGAATCTTGACATTTGAGACAAATGCATTGCCGCGGAAGAACAGAAGTCTGGCTGACTTTACTTCATGAAATCACTGGACTGACTATGACGCTTTCAGGGCTTTTGCGTGCTTGGTAGATGCCCGGGATGTTGAAAAGAGAACAAAGCCTGGTAGCAATGCCAAGGCATCTCGAGTCGTATCAGTAAGCGCAGTTTCTGAGTTGATACAACGTTAGGGTGGCTTGGGATTCCGTCAGATGAGCTCAAAGCCTATCTACCACTTAGGTTTCTTATGATTATGTCCGTTGCAATCGTATGGTGGGGGTTGATAATCTATATAGATGCGGTAAGCCAAAGCTTAGTTATAGTAATGTTGAAAATATCCAAATCCTAGTTTAGTCTACACTACAAATAGTAGCATTGGCTAGGTCATAGCATCGGTCCTCCGAGTTTGTTTTCGAAGAGTTTTACATATCACTAACTCAAGACTGCTTCATCTAGTAGCACTGCGCGATGCGTACTTCACTAGTAAGTCTAGGCTCACTATCACCTGACCGAATGACGCCTAGTTTCTGCCTGATTAATGTCTTCCTCTCCTACTACAGGGCTCCAAATGGTTACTACCAAATACTTACTAGCTGGTAGTACTCATTTTCGGTCATCATGCTCCAATTGCATACTAGGTAAAGCGGAGCCTCTCATACCCTGCGCATGGGTTTATTCCCAAAAAATATATTTTTACTTGTATAGTAGTAGTCTCTGTCCCGTCGACGAGCGGCGTGCAAGTGGCAGTAACTTGAGCTTCGAACATGACTCTGCTTATTTTACGAAGGAACCTTGGAGCACTACGTCACAATGCTGGTCAATGAACTGCATGCTGGCAAATCACTAGGTATGTGGCAGGCTCATGAACGCGTTCTTTATATGTTTGCAGAAGACCCGGACTTTCCTTTCCTAACGAACCGCTTGAAAGTTGACAACTCCACGACCGGGTGTCCAAATGGGAGAATGACAGCACCGTCTAACGAGGTCTAACCTTCGGCTCCACATCGACGTATAGTCAACACTGCGCACAGTTTACATGGGTCATGGTCCCGCCGGAGAGCCACTGAACCATGGGTACGATGGGCTGAACAGGCCCGCAGTCTCGACTGTCTGTTGTGCTTGCTGCCAGGGCATGCATTTTGATGGGATTGTAATAGATATGAGAGGCTGATATGTCTTTCTGATGTGATAGACCGTTAGTTCTGGTAGGCGAAAGGTAGGTAGTTTAGATGAGTTTCTGGGATGGTGTTAGCTAGGGTAACAGGGGGTGAAAGCTCAGGAACTGATTTCTTGGTTCAGACCGCGCCGAACGGGGTCCAAACGGAAGGGTAACCAGCAAAAAGGGAGTTTGAGAGGTGAGGTATGAGGCTTCGTGGCAACCGTGGCCTGGGTGATAAGTATGATCGGTCTGGTTCTACATTCCAAGGGGGTCCCACAGTACAAGTTATCTGACAGCATTCCTGAAGATCAAACGACCAGCTGGCAAGTGGGGTATGAAAATTACTTGACGCGCCGCGCGTGGTGAGAGAGAGATGTACTATTTATCGCTCTGCCATGTCAAAAAGGTTAACGAAGATTAACTCTTTTTTCGTCCGTGGCAGGAGAAGCAGAGGTATGTTATTGATTGCTTGCTTCACGGCCCTTGGAGATGGCCATTGTCGAAAAGACCTAGTATTTGAAGCTTTCTGTATTTGAGGAATGAATGGATTTGAGCGTGTCATTATCGATAGGTGAATCTGGTCAGTCCATCCATGTACTTTCCTTTCATTCACCACCGATAGTTCTGAAAACGGCGCGTACCGTACATCAGCCCCTGACTCCGGCCCAGACTTTGAGGTCGTGTGCACATCTGTATAATTATAGCTGCGTACAGAGGAGGGGATGAAGAAATTGCAGCGAGTAAGGACAGAAGTTCACACCTCACATCTTAGAATCGGTGTTTCAGGTCATGCAGCAGCGACAGAGACATGGGTCAGTAAGCGCCGTGGGGGGGCAAATGGAACATTATATGAAGAACCTAATCAAAAGCGCTTCGAGCTGAAGAGGAAAAGATAATTATATCATGATCGGTCGAATCTAGACTAGATCGACGCCTCTTGTATGCTGGTTGTTACACCATGTACGGAGTTTCTATTGTCTATCTAGTGGCCAACCGACAATCAATAGACGGGCTGCCGTAGCGCCGGCTTCAAGGGGGGTTGCAGGTGGTGAAACATGGGGTGGGGATACGTGGTCGTGATAGACACGCGCGAAGGAGCGACGGGCGCGCCATGCGTCGTGGAGGAGACAGTTTGGTTGGTGAAGAGGCACGAAGGGGAAGAAAGGGTCGTGATGGCAACGCGTTGAAGGGGGGGAGGGATGGATGATGGACGGGTGGGGAGAGGGAGAGAAAGAGCAGCTATGGAGACAAAACGTTCATTAAGGTTTCAATGGAGTTTGTATGATAGAAGTAGATTCTAAACTAGTGAAGAGGCAAAAGGCGATAGGCATTCTAGATGATCGACTAATCCCGATGATATCATGAGTAAGTGAAGAAGAGAGAAAACATGAATCGCGAAATGCATCTGGCATGCCGCATTGGGGGAAGAAGTAGAAAAGTAAGCCCTGAATCGCGCGACGCGACGTGATGGAAGAAGAAGGGCCAAAATGAGATGGGGAGTCGCAACCAATAATCGATCCAATAATGGGTCTCGAAGCCTTGCATGGGACCATTGGTAGTTTAAGTCAGTTGTGGATTTAGCCTCCGTCTGGAATTCTCGGGGTTCCCTGGCCATCGATCCCATCCCATCTGGCGGGCGACACGAACTTGACGCGCTTCTTCGCCTTGACTCCATTCCCTGCTTCAAACTTACTTATACAACTCCACCTCCACGTCCACGTCCACGTCCACGCTCTCGCGCTTCCCTTCCACCCCTCCCCTCGTCGACTTAAATTCTTTTTCTCTTTTAAACATTTTTGCAAACCCTTACCCTTGAAACCCGTTCATCTGCATGTTTCGACTGTCGTGCAGAAACCTTGGAATGAGCCTTGAATGACCAGCAGCCCACCGTTTTCCCTGCCCTCTCCATTTTTAGGCATTCTTTCTCGGTTGACGCTGCCTACCACCACCTGCCTTTTAAACAGCCCTTGCCTCACTCCAACTCTTATATCTCCTCGCCTGGTCCCCTCGTTCCTCTAGTCCTGTCACTTCCCATTGTCCATTGTCTTTGTCCCCTTCTAGTCTGGACTTCCAAAAAGACTGGATCGTGGATTAACCTTAACTGCTTTCTCCATCCTATCCAGTTCACTCAGCCTCTCCCGCTCCAATCCTGACCGTCGATCTTCCCTCTCCAGACCGCCAATCAATCTACCAACCCCACTCACTACTTCACTCCCTCGACGCGACTAAAAACAACTCGTCTCCCACACGGCCTCGTTGCCTGTCTATACACCCCATTTAGTCGACTCAATCCGCTGTTCCTGGTCCATTCCGGCCTGTATACAGCATGGCCGCTCTTACCATGACCCCTACCACCATGCGGCAGCCATTTGCCAGCTTGGACGCGCCACGCATGCGCTCCTTGCTCAAGACTAGAATGAACATGAAGAACAAACAAGATGGTATGAACATGCGAAACTTCGCCCCATTCTCACCACGCGCGTCATAGCTAACATACTTTCTTATAGGTGCCATTCTTTCGGGAAAGAGACAGCCCCTGTCGGACGTGGACTCGGAGAATATCGACCCAACCACTTTCAAACAATCCGCCAAACGCAAGCGTGGTGCCGACGATGATGACCTGGAACCTGCCAAGGAACCCTGCAAGCCATTCAAAACCTCTCGCATGGTTCTGACCACCGTAAAGTCGACCACTGTCACTCCTCGCAAGCCAACCACACCCACCAAACCAACCGTGTCTACTCCCAAGTCCGCTCCCAACCTTCGGCCAGCTGGACGTTCACCACCGCCCAAGTCTTGCAAGCCTTTCTCTCGTCGTTCTACTATCGCCAAAAGCCGTCCCGAGTCCGTTAACCGGAAATCCGTCCACCGCCCATTCTCTCTTGCAACCGCTCTGTCTGGCGCAAAGGCAAAGAGTCAGCCCAGCCCGAAAGCTCCTGCATCCTGGTCATTCGATATCCATGTGGACACCGAGCAGGAAGAGATGACCAACCTCATGCAACACTCCACCTGTGTCCTGGACATCAGCGACCAGGAAGGGAAAGTTGAGACCTCTGGTCGAGGCAAGGAGAATGTACCTCCGGCGGAACTCGGACTTGATCTTCCCCGTTCTCGTCAGCAGGAGTCCCCTGCGGCTGCGGCGCGCAAGTCTGTCATGCTGGAGGAGTCTCGTGAGCCATTGGGTGACCTCAATGCCGCCGACTACTACGGTGATGACTGCCATGCCTTCTCCTATGCCGTTGTCTATGATGACGAGGCTGAGGAGAATGCGAAGAAGGTCCCATCAGCACCACGCTCAGCCCCCAACTCCGCCCGCAGCAAGCTTTCCAACGTCTCCTCCGTCTCTTCCTTCCTTGAAGTAACCGCCCCTGCCAAGCCTACCGCTGAGGTTGAAGCTGAGGCGGCAATCGAGATCTGGGAGAGCGAGAGTGCTGCAGAAGAAGCCGCCGATGCCAACTGAATCCGCGGCCACCCCTTGATAGCTCGCCTCGGACTATCACCCATCATACCAACAAGAGTTATATTATATGGCGTTCGGATTACTCCAGGGTTGTACAGCATCGTTTTTGGATACCCTACCTATACAGTCTTTTTGATTTCGTTTGGAGCCCGTTTTATACCGACCAGATCCGTCACGAGACGAATTTTCTTGAGTCCTCTTTCCTATTATCACGTCCAAAACCTACACCACACCATACCTTCCTATCCGACTTCCCACTGTCTTACCCGAACTACTACCTACCTCGACACGAGTCACTATCATTGGCCTGAAGTATAATGGCCCCCTCCGTCACCACTCTTTTGCGCATCTGATGAATGCTGCGTCCGTTACCTACCTACCTCCTAATGACCTAAGAATGTGTTACGTCGCTTAATGCCTGTATGAGATACATACCCTCAGTCTAATTAAAAGCAAAAAAAGAGAATGAGAATACAAATAAAAATACAATTTTTATGAACAAAGTCCAAGCCATCAACTTGTAAATTAGTAAATTGCATCTACAGTAAAATATACTAAGCTCTTCGTCTCGTAGCTCTGGGAGTCTCAACGCCACCCATCTCCGTATCCTCGTCTTCCCCGCCGTCATCCTCATCAGACTGTTCCTCATCCTCGTCCACATCTTCATCTACATCATCCTCCTCTCCTCCACCCGACGCCGCCGCTTCTGCCACAGCCTCCGCCAACTCCTCCTGCTCATACGCCTCTTCCTCACCCTCACTCAACATCTCCCCGCCACCACCCACCTCATCCTGAAACTGCACCCTCCGATCCGCCCTCTTCTTCCCCTTCCTATCACCCTCCTCCCCAATTTCCTCTCTCCCCACCACCACCCCCTTCTTCCCAGCAGCACCACCACCACCACCACCAACCCTCTCCTTCCACGCTGGCGCCCCCTTAATAATGCCCCTCACCTCCGTGGCCATCATCATCTCCCTCTGCGACGCCACCGCCGGATCCAGCCAAAAGTCCACCATGACCGACTCCGGCGTCGCATGATCCGGCAACTTGACAATATTCGCAAACTCGACCTCATCATCCAACATCTTATCATCCAACAACGCAAGCACCTTCGCCCGCATAATCGTCTTCGTCTTCGCCAACGTCCCGTTCCCGAACCACCCATCCGTCAAAATATCGCATTCCTCACGCAGGAATCCCGCCGGCGGCGGATCCGATGGGAATAAGATGCTCCGGAGTGTGGGGTCCGTCACGTCGCAGAACATCCACATGCGTCCGTCGCGCGGGAGCGGCAAACAGCCTGTGAACAGGTGGGTTGTTGTAGGGAGTTGTTGGGTTTCCGTGTGTTGGTGATGAGTTTCGTCGAGGTATTGGGGTACTTCGCCGGCGCGGGCGACGGCGTGACGACGGCCGGTGTAGCCGTCTCGCGCGACTTCGGCTTCCCGGGGCAGGATGCGGAACATGGCTGTTTGGTAGATTCGGTAGGACGGGTCGGTGCGTGGGTCGTGGCCGTATTTGATGATGGCGTCGCGCCAGGGCCCGGACCGGAAGATGTACCCGATGTAGGGGATCGCGTGGCGGAGGGCGTAGCGTTGTTCGATTGTGGGGAGGGAGTTGCGTAGCCCTCGGCGTGTCCAGGCGGGGCGTTGTTGGAAGAGGGCTTCGACGGCTGTGATGGTTTCTTGGAGCGTTTTGTCGAGTGTGTGGATGGGTGGGCAGTTCGTGCGCGGGGAGGTTGGGACCGTAGCGATGTCGTAGGATACTAGATGGGTGAGGACTTTTACTACTCGTTGGGTGTTTACTGTTGTTATGTTGCCTGAGTTGTCGATGGCTTGTCGGACTGTTGGGTTTTGGCGGTAGCTTTGGGGGTTTTGTTATTAGTTGGATTGTTGGGTTGGGGATGGGCATGGGCATGGGGGTGGAGGCTTACATGTAGGTGAAGGGGATGTCTCCGAAGCTGAAGGACGGTGGAGGGATGATGTCTACGTCGGTGATGGCGCCTTTGCTCATGTCGAGGTCGAATTGTTTCATTTTGTCGTCTGTACAATGGTTAGTTTGTGTTAAGTGGTGGATGTGGTAGTAGGTCTCGTTACAGTCAAATGGCAATATCTGCTCCCGGAATCGGTTGGCAAAGGAACTGGAGCCCGTTGAGAAGACAAAGTCCGGCATTCCTGGTTGTGTCAGTGTCATGCAGGATAATACTGCTGTGTAGGTGGTCTGTAGACTCACCCCGAAACACATGTGTCCGGTTAATCAAGCCCACGGGCTCAACTTGATAATTGGATACATTATCACTCAGACTCCGCAGCAGTTCTCGAGCACTGCGTCGTTGCGGCTCCGTATGCACCGTGGAGACAGCAACGCCGCTAAAGGGCTCATTCGACCCCTTCTTTCGCTTGCGACCTGTTCGCTTTGGTACCGTCACCTTTAGAAGGATGTTGTTAGACGGTAAGCTGGTCGACTGGAGCGGCCTGGACATGGCATCCTCCGGCCGCAGAAGCAGATGAGCCGGGCTGTCAGGCTTGGGGGGATGCAATATCTGGAGTAACTTGTCAGTCCTTCTGAGTGATAATCAATTGAATGGGTTGACGTACTTTGGTTATGCCCGCATCCCCCTTCAGTGTGTCGACAGCCTTGTCAAGGTTTCTGATAATGGCAGGGTGCTCGACGCTGACAATGCAACGTGAGGGGATCTGGTAAAATGGGGCTGTTCTGGCCCCATGTTGATCTGTCATGTTGTCTGTACGGCGTAGATGCACCGTGTATAGCCCTTGTTGGGCTATTTAAACATGTGTCAGGAACGTTTGGGGAAAATGCTATCCCTAGGTCGAAGCTATATAAATGCGGATAAGTCTGCACAAATATGGAGCTAGGATTGACGTCAACCGTTAGTATCCAGGGGCTTAAAGTTAATTCACATCTACTACAACTTGCTGAGCCGGTGAATTGGTTCACTAGATCAGGCTCGGTACCAGAGTGTTTCTCGTAACCATACTAACTACTACAGCAGAATCCCCAATCCTGTGTATGCTTCACAGCCAACCTGGAGGGGAACGATGGATGTCGATGCTAGGAATCTGCAAGTCACATGACCAGCCAACAGCCACACCATCATCCCGAATCCCCCGTCAAAAAATAAGATGGGAGGGTAAAAAAAGCCGCGACTGAGACATGCTGGATGGGTGGATTGCTATTTTCTTTCCTCTAATAAGATGATGCGGTTGCTTTCTTTTCTTTATTATTATTTATTTTTTTTTAATACGAGTTTCTTACTCGGGGGGAATGCGCTGTCTGTCTGACCCCTTGCCTGTAGTTGCACTTCGAGACAGTTCAACATGAACCCTCCGGAGGGTGTAGTCGATGGTCTAAGTATAAATTTCGTAATGCTGAGGCGCCCCTCCCATTTCATTTCGTTTCGACCTCTTAAAACCGGTTGATTCCCGATTCCCATCGTGCTGGTGGTCGGCAGGTTAATAAAGGTAGTTTGGTAAAAGGGACCCAACCAGGCCCACGACCTGACCTGCAACCACTAAGAAAACTACGTCCGAGCGCTCTTCTAGTCAGTCAGTCAGTTCAATCAGTCCGTTAGCCACAGCCTCAGGCCAGTCTGCTGCTCTGCTTCCCCCCCCTCCCTCCTCCCCGACCTCAGCTTGATACGACTAACTACTATCGCATCAATCAATCCCTTACAATTCTCAGACTGCTCGACTGGGCTGGTTTCTCGTGCTTTCTTTACGGTTGAACGCGCTGACGATAGAAATTCTGATTTACTCCTTACTCCCCTTCTTTTGATTCTTTTTCTGCCAACCGCGACCGTGTGGTTCTAGTATTCTTACTTTGCTACTATTCCTTCCCACTTCTTCTGTTCTCTTCATTCCCCCGGGGGCCTCAATTCATTTGCACCCCGCTTCCCGGCAGCCGCTAAGCGACACGGAAAGAGACGATCGACTCCAGCAAACCAGACCGACTGACTACTGGCTGCTCCCTATACCGCTCCCGTTCGCGCCAAACAGTGAAGCGTGCCTGTCTGAGAGATCCTCCTCCCTCCCACTCCCACTCTCCCCCAATTCGCCCCGATACCTTGAACTGAACTTCCTTTGAGGTAAGTCCTGCAGCTATAGTTTCCTGTTCCTCTTGCGCTTTCGGGAAACTGTTCTTGTGTGTTTTGATCCACCTCTTCTCTTTCTTCTCCCCCTATCAAACACCCCCCCCTTTCTGGTGTGTGATTACACCTTCCATCATCCGCTGGTTCTTTTGGGATCCTACCGCCTCACCCCGGTGCTCTGCGTTGCTGGCCTGGTGTCCACCATTTTCCACCCCCCTCATCCTACGATTCTCTATTTCTTTGATTTTGTATATTTCCCACCCCTGCGATTTTTGCCATGAGCCTTGTTCCTGGACCTTGTGTCTCTCCCGTCAATCCGATTCGAGCGCTATGTTAGGTGGTGTTGTGGTTGGAAATGCTCATGTGGTCATTCCCAGGCCGACATAAATAAATCCCGACGTGGCTCTCCTGAAATTGCCTCCGCGCTATACCAACACTCTCCCCCATCCCTCCTGCTAGTGTGCGGCATCTTGCTGCACTGGCACCGAGATTGAGACCGAGTACATGTGGCTGTTCGACTAGTCGTGACAATGAAGGGCTTCAGACAGAGAGTGGTGAGTGTTCCCTGTCCACTTCCGCTGCCCCCTACACCCCGTTCCCCGCCTCCCTCCTGCCGATGATCAGCTCTCGTCCACCCACCCCCCCCCAAAACCGCCGGGATGCAGGCTAATTTGCCCAGCATGAACAGTTGTCGAGGGCAAAAGACGCAAACAAATCCTCGAAGAAGAAAGACTCCTCCCACTCGTCCCAAAACAATGCCGCCCTCGGAGTCAATCACGGACAGCAGTCCTCTTCCCCTAACCAGGGCACCCCGACTTCGTCTACCACATCCGTGAATGATACTCGAGGAAAGTCGCCGGACAATGGCTCGCAGGCAGGAATGTATCCTGGTCAGTACTATATCCCGCAGGGCGCAGGCTTGGTTGGTCAGCCCGTGAATAACGGTGGACCAGGTACGCCCACGAAGCAGGGACAGCAGATGGCTCCGAGCGTGGTCATCAGTCCAAGCGCACCGGTGAGCTTCCCTTTCATTATCGAGGCGCCCCCGCTGTGGTTATTCCAAACCTAGCTTGATGGTAGCTCCCATCGATCATTTGGTTCCGGACTGACCCTTATCCTTCATTCGCATAGCATGTCCCTCCCCCCGGAGCCGCCGAAACCATGCCCGGGGATCTCGCTCCCCCACGGAAGTCTCACGTCTTCGATCGCCTTCAGACGACACCCAAGGACATGTCCGAAGGAATCCGAACCCCTAAGCGCCAGCATTCATCGCGTTTCGATATTTCCGATCAGCGCCAAAGAGAGTTGGAAAAGCTGCAGGGCTTCCACGAGGTTCCCCCGAATCGTCGCCAAGAGCTGTTCATGCAGAAGATCGATCAATGCAACATTATCTTCGACTTCAACGACCCTACTGCCGACATGAAATCCAAGGAGATCAAGAGACTGGCGCTCCATGAGCTACTAGACTACATCGCCAACAACCGTTCGGTTATCACGGAACCCATGTATCCCCGTGTAGTCGAGATGTTCGCAAAGAATCTTTTCCGACCCATCCCGCCCCCGGTGACTCCCCAAGGCGAGGCGTTTGACCCAGAGGAGGATGAACCGGTGTTGGAAGTCGCATGGCCCCATATCCAGGTGGTGTATGAGTTCTTCTTGCGGTTCATCGAGAGCCAGGACTTTAACACCAACATTGCCAAGCAATACATCGATCATCACTTTGTGCTTCAGGTATGCTTTCTTTATACTCTTTTGCTGGATGATGAGGCCTAGGGCCGTCCAACACTAATGCGCCGCAGTTGCTGGAGCTGTTCGACTCGGAAGACCCTCGTGAACGTGACTTTCTCAAGACCACCTTGCATCGTATCTACGGAAAGTTCTTGAACTTGCGATCATACATTCGCAGATCTATCAACAACGTCTTCTTTCAGTTCACATATGAGACTGAGCGATTCAATGGAATCGCAGAACTGTTGGAAATCTTGGGGTCTATCATCAACGGCTTTGCCCTTCCTCTGAAGGAAGAACACAAGTTGTTCCTGACACGGGTTCTGTTACCCTTACACAAAGTGAAGAGCTTGAGCATGTACCACCCGCAGTTGGCCTACTGTATTGTTCAGTTCCTGGAGAAGGACTCGTCATTGACGGAAGATGTAAGACCGCATCCGGTTCCTGCCTCGTCGCGGCTTGAAGACGTTACTGACTACGGGATAGGTGGTCCTTGGTTTGCTGCGCTACTGGCCCAAGACAAACAGTACGAAGGAGGTTATGTACCTGAACGAGGTGGAAGACATTTTCGAGGTCATGGACCCTGCCGAATTTGCCAAGGTCCAGGTGCCTCTGTTCCAACAGCTTGCGAAGTCTGTCGCTAGCCCGCATTTCCAGGTTTGTTATGCAGAGATCGATGCAAGATTCCGAGCAGAAGCGCTAACTGCTTATCAAGGTCGCGGAACGAGCGCTCTATTTCTGGAACAATGAATACTTCTGTAACCTCGTTAGCGACAACGTGGAGATCATTCTGCCGATTATGTTCCCTCCCTTGTATGAGAACTCCAAGGGCCATTGGAACAGGTAGGTTGATGATAATTTGACTGCCCCTTCCGCAGCGGCTGACTGTTGCAGAACAATCCACAGTATGGTTTACAACGCGATGAAGATGTTTATGGAGATCAACCCACAGCTTTTCGACGAATGCTCTCATGAATACAATGAGCGCCAGAACAGCGCTGAAGAGCGCGAAATGGGCAGACAGCAGAGATGGGAGAAGGTCTTGGAACGCGCTAAAGATAGGAAGAATGGGGTTGCTGTGCCCCCACAATGCCAAGTTGCGGAGATCCCCGTCCATCTAGATGACATCGACCAAGTGGCACACGACAGTCAGAAGCGTCTCCATGCCCTGAAGTTGGATGACTCGAGTTCGACCGAGCGCCGGCCCCGAGAAAGCACGGCATCTTCGGTAAGTACCGAGCGCCCCGAGTAGCTTGTGTGGTCATGTTTTGCCCATGACTTTGTCGCACTTGGCGAAAAGAGAAATGAAAATTCCCCTACTTTGCTTCGTCGTTGTCTTTGCTAAGAATTCGCCGATGTTATCGTACAGCAAGCGTGATTCTAACGTTGAAACGTCCGTGTTTTTCTCCAGAGACGGCGCCGCGGCTCCTCTGATGATATTCGAAGGCGACGAAGTGGTAGCGCCAGTGAGATACGACCGCGTGTAGATCGACGACGGCCGGGTGCTGGCGTTACTGTATCGATCTTGTCCCGAAGCAACTCCACCAAGTAACGGTTGACTTGATGGGCATTCTTCCGTTAGATTTTTCCTTCCATGATGGCATAGCGACTACGAGCTGCGATGAAGTGTATTCGTGTCTATTTGGTTCCACGTTCGGCCAGTACTTCCGTCTTCGTGCTCTTCTCCCCCTTTCATCCGCGTCTTCATGTCCTTTTCCCTTTCCTCTTTCCCCCTTTTTTCTTTTCTATTTAACTTTCTACAACTCTGTGTACATGGCCTTGAATATTCTTGTGTCTGCGCGAGCACGTGGCTCGGTTGCCCGTGCATCGGAGCGGACGATCGAGTTTGGACTATTAGAACTGTGTTCGGGTCTGGAAAACGGGTGCGAATGGCGTTTCCCTTCGTCGACGTTGATGTCGGCAAACCTTTTGATATTACAACATGAAGTATTTATGGCATGGCCGTGAACCAGATTCTTGTTTCTCTTAAGACTTTATCCACGCGACTATACTACTAAGTCTATAACGTTGTTCCTGTTACCACGTGCCTCTTTTGAGTAAACCCCTGAGCCAGTAACCCGTGATAGGCTCAGCAGCCGCAGGGTAGTACCGTAGACGCGCGCTTACCGGGTAGGAGAAACAAAGTCCCGTTTTTACCTATTTCGGCCTAGTGTTTCGTTCGGGGTCTCTGCGATACCCGCGTTTCAGTCTGCTCTCGCTGCTTTCTGTTCCTGTCGGTTTGCAGGCCGGTAGTTTGCGCTCATTAATCCTTTGCTTGATACCCTCCACCTCCTCTCCCTTTCCCTTAAATATATCGCTATATATTACCCGACCTCTCCTCTTCCTCCCCCGGTCTTTGCTTCCTACACCCTGAACCGACTGGGTCCGATTAATGACTTGACGACTGGACACAATAGTTCTTCCACATCTTATGAGGCGCCTTCCGTCGCTGAGCCATTCGACATAGAGCTCCACCACTACCACCTCCACCACCAACACGCATATGAATCCGACATAAGAGCAGCTTGTGCCGGCTTCTAGATTCAGGCCGGCCTCACGGCCTGGCGATTAATTAATCCTAATCTATCAATATGGCCTCCGCTGAAGGCCCCCGAGGCAACATGGAGCGGAACGCGGAGCGAAGCATTGATATCTACAGCACTAAGCTGGGCGACGACAAGATTGGTGCGTTTCGGTCCTTGCTTGTTCATATTGGGGAATGAAGCTTCAGCTGTGGATTCGACTTTCAAGTCCTGAGTGGTCTCACTGCGGGCATTGAGCTGACGGTCTCTCTTCGCACATAGATATTAAACTCAGAGCGAATGTTGCTGTCGAATTACGGGACAGTATTGAACCATTATGCTCTGGCGCAAGCTATCCGATCTTCTTGTCGAAGCTATGGCCGGTGTTCAAGCACATTCTGAAGGGCGAGCCCGTCTTCACGAACATGTCCTTCGATCAGGTGAGTCAGGGATCGTGACTGGTTCAGGTGTTAGTTTGGGGAATTAGGGCTCATACATAGGTTGTATTGCCAGAAATTACGGAATTGTATCCTCGAGACGCTACATCGTTTGCCAATGGCGTCGCCGGACGTCGAACCGTATGCCGCCGACATGGTCGACCTGCTGATGGATCTGGTACGGATTGAAAACGAGGAAAACGCGGTTCTGTGCATGAAGACAATCATGGATCTCGAGCGCAATCAAGCCAAGGCCACGGCGGCGCGCGTACAACCTTTCCTCGCGCTCATTCAGGAGATGTTCCAGATGATGGAGCAGGTGGTTCGCGATACCTTCGATACCCCCAGTCAAGCCACCCCTTCTGGCATGCCCTCAACACCAAGTGCGACGGCCCAGACTTTCCAATCGCCTCGACCGAGCTCCCCCGCGACGTCAGTTTCGGATCTCGCACCAGACCAGCAGCAACAGGCCAACAATGTGTTACTCAAGGGTATGCAGTCGTTCAAGGTCCTCGCCGAGTGTCCGATTATCGTCGTGTCCATCTTCCAAACGCACCGTGCGTCCGTCGCGGCAAATGTGAAGCTCTTTGTGCCGCTGATCAAGAGTATCCTTCTTCTCCAAGCCAAGCCGCAGGAGAAGGCACACGCAGATGCCGCAGCCCAGGGGACGATATTCACGGGCGTATGCAAAGAAATTAAGAACAGAGCCGCTTTCGGTGAATTCATTACCGCGCAAGTGAAGACGATGAGCTTCTTAGCCTATTTGCTCCGTATGTATGCGCAACAGCTGCAGGATTTTCTCCCCACTCTCCCCTCGGTTGTTGTGCGTCTTCTTCAAGATTGCCCCCGGGAAAAGTCCAGCGCGAGGAAGGAGCTCCTGGTGGCCATCCGTCACATCATAAACTTTAATTACCGGAAGATATTCCTCGAGAAGATCGACGAGCTTCTTGACGAGAGGACGCTTATTGGCGATGGACTCACTGTTTACGAGACAATGCGACCCCTAGCCTACAGCATGCTTGCCGACCTCATACATCACGTCCGCGACCACTTGACGCGTGATCAAATACGTCGGACTGTCGAAGTGTACACCAAAAACCTTCATGATGATTTCCCGGGAACGAGTTTCCAGACAATGAGTGCCAAACTACTACTCAATATGGCCGAGAGGATATCGAGGTTGGAGGATAAAAGGGAAGGCCGCTACTTCTTGATCATGATCCTAGATGCCATTGGTGACAAGTTCGCGTCGATGAACTATCAGTTTGACAACGCGGTCAAGGTCTCGAAGGCATACAAGGCCACGAAGAAGGACCTCGAACCTGCTTCGGAGCGGTATCTTGCGGAGAAGGAGCACCCACCTGATTGGGATGAAATCGATATCTTCTCGGCGTCTCCCATCAAGACATCCAACCCTCGCGACCGCGGTGGTGATCCGGTCTCCGACAACATCTTCCTTTTCAAGAACCTGATCAACGGCCTGAAGAACATTTTCCACCAGCTCAAGAACTGCAACCCCGATCATATCCAAATCGACCCGAATAGTGTCCCGATAAATTGGTCCGAGGTCTCGTATGGCTACAATGCTGAGGAAGTACGGGTTATCAAGAAGCTGTTCCACGAAGGAGCCCGAGTCTTCAAGTACTACGGGGTGGACCAGTCACCTCCGGAAGTCAGCTACTCCTCCCCGTTCGACTTCCTTGCTGGTCAATACACCGCGCCCATGTCCCGCGAAGAAAAGGAGCTCCTGGAGAGCTTCGGAACCGTGTTCCACTGCATTGATACCGCCACCTTCCACGAAGTCTTCCACTCTGAGATACCCTACCTCCACGAGCTCATGTTCGAACACGGCGCCCTCCTCCACCTTCCTCAGTTCTTTTTGGCTAGCGAGGCCACTTCCCCGGCATTCTCTGGAATGGTGTTGCAGTACCTTATGGACCGGATCCATGAAGTGGGTACTTCCGACATGACGAAAGCGAAGATCCTGTTGAGGATGTTCAAGCTTTCGTTTATGGCCGTCACACTGTTCTCTGTTCAGAACGAGCAGGTTTTGCACCCTCATGTTACCAAGATCGTTACCAAATGTATAGAGCTTTCGGTGACTGCAGAGGAGCCCATGAACTATTTCCTCCTGCTGCGCTCCTTGTTCCGCAGCATTGGTGGAGGCCGGTTCGAGCTCCTTTACAAAGAGATTCTGCCGCTGTTGGAAATGCTCTTGGAGACATTCAATAACTTGCTGCTCGCTGCCCGCAAACCGCAAGAGCGTGACCTCTACGTAGAGCTTACCCTCACAGTTCCTGCTCGCTTGAGTCATCTTCTGCCACATTTGAGCTACCTCATGCGTCCAATTGTGGTAGCGTTGCGTGCCGATTCGGACCTTGTGGGACAGGGTCTTCGGACCCTAGAGCTATGTGTCGACAATCTCACGGCCGACTACCTTGATCCGATCATGGCACCCATTATGGACGAGTTAATGACAGCCTTGTGGGACCATTTGCGGCCCCATCCTTACAATCACTTCCATGCGCATACGACCATGAGGATCCTGGGTAAGCTTGGTGGCCGTAATAGAAAGTTCCTCAACCACCCTCCAGACCTTACCTTCGAACAGTTTGCCGATGACACACCCAGCGTCGACATCAAGCTTATCGGACCCAGCGAGAAGCGTCCTTTCCCTGTCGAAATTGGCGTTGATTTGGCCATTGGGAAGTTGATGGAGGTTCCCAAGACACCCACGGCCAAGGCATCGGACAGCTACTATAAGCAGCAGGCATTCCGGATGCTCTCATCGCAGTTGAAACTCTACATTGGATATGAGAGTGTCCCGGAGGACCTGGCTTCTCTCATTCGTTTGCATGCCAATGACCTCTTCGAGAGCAAGACTACAGCAATGCCCGACATCCTGGAAAGATCTGAGCGGTCCAGCTCCATCACGAAGAAGTTGACACAGGAGGGCTCGATGAAGAAACTTATCAAAGCTTGTATCTTCGCGACAACCATTCCGGAACTTGAGCAAACTGCAACCGCTTTTGTGGCTGATGTATGCAAGCACTTTGCTGTAGTGGAAGTCGGACGCGCTCTCGCCCAAGCCAGGCACACCCGCAGGCCTTTCGATGTCAATAACGGCGAAGGCCCGGTGTATCTCGACTCACGGGTCCTAGCCGAAGCTCTAGTAGAGTCCCTGTCATCGGACAATGCTTCTGTCCGTGATGGTGCGCAGGCAGCAATGCAGGTCATGAAGGAGGCGGCCGCTATCATCTTTGGAACTCCTGACCGGGTCTCCAAGCTTCCCTTCTTCCAACATCTGGGTCGCGTGTTTTGCCATAGTTGCCATAGCGAGGAGTGGTTTACCAAGGCTGGGGGAAGCCTTGGTATCCACATTTTCGCGACCAAGCTGGACCTGGGTGACACCTGGCTCCTGGACAAGCAGGTCGAATTCGTCAGAGCCTTGATGTATGTTATCAAGGATACACCGTCTGACTTACCAGCTAGCACGCGAATCAGGGCGCAGGAGACACTGGATCTGATTCTCCGCCGGTGCTGCAAGAATCTTTCGCTTGATGACCTGAAGAACGAGAAGAGCCGCATGTACTCTTTGTGCGGGCACTTTGTCTACGAGCTCTCCCACATGAATAAGCAGGTCCGAGAAGCTTCGCGTCGGAGCTTCTCGACAATTGCCGAAGTCCTGGGTTGTCAGGTCCATGACCTCATTCTCCCTGTGAAGGACCGCCTCTTGCAGTCCATCTTCAACAAGCCGCTCCGAGCACTCCCCTTTCCCACGCAGATTGGGTTTATCGATGCCATTACGTACTGCCTGAGCTTACACAATAATATTGTGACCTTTAATGATCCGCTCAATCGATTAATGCTGGAGTCTCTTGCCTTGGCTGATGCCGATGATGAGTCGCTCGCCTCCAAGCCGAACGAGTTCAAGAATGCTGAAATGATTGTCAACTTGCGAGTTGCGTGCCTTCGTCTCCTGTCTATGGCAATGAGCTTCCAGGAGTTCGGCAACACCCCACAGAATACGAGCCGTGCACGCATCATTTCCGTATTCTTCAAGTCACTCTATTCGCGGTCTCCTGATGTTATTGAAGCCGCCAATGCCGGTCTTCGGGACGTTCTTACGCAGACAAACAAGTTGCCGAAAGACTTGCTCCAAAACGGTCTTCGCCCTATCCTGATGAACTTGCAGGATCCTAAGCGTTTGAGCGTCGCAGGACTCGACGGACTTGCACGTTTGCTGACATTGCTCACCAATTACTTCAAGGTTGAGATTGGAGCTCGCCTTCTAGACCACATGAAGGTCATTGCAGATGATACGATTCTGCAGAAGGTGTCCTTCAGTCTTGTTGAGCAAAGTCCTCCGATGAAGATCGTGGCTGCCATATTCAACATCTTCCACCTACTTCCCCCAGCTGCTACTTCTTTCATGGAGCATCTCGTGAACAAGGTGTTGGATCTTGAAGACAAGCTTCGCAGGACGTCTAACAGTCCTTTCAGGAAGCCTTTGGTCAAGTACTTGAATCGCTATCCCAAGGATAGCTTGACCTTCTTCCAGAACCGCTTCAAGGATGAGCGGTTTGGGCGATTCTTTGGCCAGGTCTTAGCTGACCCAGAGAGTGAGGCACTTCGCTCTGCGGTAGTTGCGGACACTGATAGCTTCGTGAATGCTGCTTTCGGACAAGAGGCGACGGATGGCAAGAACACTGCTGCAATCAATGGTATCTACGTGGCCCACTCGATCTGCATGCATGAATCGACCAAGCGCTGGTTGGTTTCGCAGGCGGATCTGAGAGCCAAGTTATTGAGCTCGGGACGCGATCTGGAGAAAAAGCTCCGAAATGACAAGCTACCGGCGAACGAGCGGTTAAGAGTCGAGCAAGCGGAGGACCAGCTAATGGATATCTTCACTAATTACCTGACGGAGTCGGTGCAAGATCTGGACTTCCTGTTCGAGGTTATGGACGGACTTTCTGCCGAAGAACTGAAGCGCACCTTGGCATTCCCGAAATTCATATACCGCCATATCATTACGAATGAGTCTATTGATTACCGCCGTTCTGTGATTATGCGGTGCCTCGACCTCTATAGCCAGCGCACCTGCTCCCAGAAGATGAAGACATATGCCTTCCGTCATCTGGTTAACCCCATCTTTGCCATGGACGTCCAGACTACATGGAACAGCCCGTCGAATAGTCCCAAGCTGATGGACAAGAGTATGACCGAATTCATCCAGAGCCGTTTGTGGAAGCCTCAATTGGCCGATCTGAGCGATGAGTCCAACCAGGCTGGTGTGGACCACTCGCGCATGGAACTTCTCCAGCTGTCTGCCTTGTTGATCAAATATCATTCACAGACCGTACAGGAATCGCGCAAGGACATTATCAAGTTCGCTTGGAACTACATTCGTCTGGAAGACGTCATCAACAAATACGGCGCCTATGTTCTCATCAGCTACTTCATTGCGCATTATGAGACGCCTTTCAAGATTGTCGTGCAAGTCTACGTGGCCCTACTAAGAGCTCACCAGAACGAGGGTAAAGCGCTTGTGACTCAGGCTCTTGATGTTCTTGCCCCTGTTCTGCCGACTAGGACCTCCATGGCAAATCAAAATACTCAGGTACATGATCCGCGGTACCCGATATGGGCGAAGTGGCCTCGACGCATTCTGGCGGAGGAGACTGCCAACTTGCAGCAGGTCATGTGCATCTTCCAATTCCTCGTGCGGCAGCCGGACCTCTTCTACGACTCAAGGGAACATTTCGTGCCTCTTATCGTTCCATCTCTGATCAAGATCGCTTCACCTATGAGCTCTTCGAACGAAAGCAAGAAACTGGCGCTTAACCTTGTTAGTCTCATTTGGCACTGGGAAGAAAAGCGTGTTAAAGCTAGCCGTTCTCCGATGCCCAACGGCATCCATGATTCCCCTAATGCCAAGAAGCGCAAGCTGGAGGAAACCCAGAGCAGTGCATCCCGTTCGCCTGCAGCGGGGTCTCAGGACTATCTCATCCCCCCTGATCTGCGTGCCACGTTGACGAAGTACCTTATATCTTTCATCACGACAATTGCGGAGAGATACCCAGTTCCTGCCGCGCGAATTCGTGAGCTTCCGGGAACCAAGCCGCAGCAGCCTGTGCCTACGGGTGATATGGTGAAGAAGGCTGTGCACTTGCTGAGGAACCTGTTGTCTGACGAGCATTGGGCAGACTTGGACATTGAGCTCTATCAGAAGGTTACGGAACCAATCCTCGCGGGCGACAAGGCAGACAAGCCTGACGAGAAGCATGTTACGAGTATGGTCAATACACTGCAGGTCATACGAGTACTCCTGGCCTGTAAGCCGGATGACTGGATCATGGCTCGCTTGCCCCTAATCCAGAAGCTTTTCGAAAAGCCTTTGCGCTCGGACAACCCAGAGATTCAGGACTGCCTCCATGGCGTTGAAGACGAGGTGGATATCTCCCCCAAGCTCTTGCCTCCTATCAGAAGGGTTCTGAATGCTCTTCCGGAAGATCAGCCAGAGGAGGATGATGCTATGGATGTGGAAAACTCGCCTTCTGAGTTCGTCACCTACCTGTCTGCTATTGCAACGGAGACACTTTCGGCCAGCAATTATGTCTCTAGTCTTAATGTGCTTTGGACTCTTTCCAAGAATAAGCCGGCTGAGATGGACACCCACATTCCCCAGGTCATGAAAGCCTTTTCGCAGAAACTGGCCAAGGAGCATGTTGCAGCTTCCACCGCCAATCAAGCAGCGTTGCCTCCGGGAACTAAGCCTCCAGAGGGAGTTCCAGACCAGCAGGAGTTCGAGCTCGGGGTTGATCTGATATTCAAAACCATCGAACTCATATCAGTGCGCATGTCTCACCTTGGAGAGCAGAGGCGTCCTTTCCTCAGTGTTCTGGCTCAGTTGGTTGAACGGTCTCAGAACATTAAGCTTTGCAGCAAGGTGCTGGGTATGGTTGAGACTTGGATTTTCCATTCGACCGAGTCATGGCCTACGCTCAAGGAGAAGACCGCTGTCTTGCATAAGATGCTACTCTTTGAGTCTCGACAAGACCAAACCATGCTCAAGAAGTTCCTCGATCTTGTCATTAGGATTTATGAGGATTCTAAGATCACCCGGACCGAACTGACTGTCCGACTCGAGCACGCCTTCTTGATCGGAACCAGGGCACAAGATGTTGAGATGCGGAATCGCTTCATGACCATTTTCGACCGCAGTTTGACCCGCTTAGCCAGCTCTCGTCTCAGCTACGTGCTCACCTGTCAGAACTGGGACACGCTGGCGGACTCGTTCTGGCTGGCCCAGGCGTCTCACTTAGTCTTGGGCTGCGTGGATATGGGTTCATCGGCGAGGTTGCATCCGGATGATTTCACTGTTTACCCCGTGTCTTTCCTCTATGGCAATGCCGATAAAGATGCAAGGAAGGCAGATGTTATGGTGGACATTCAACTCGAGGCTTTCGTCTCCGAGCGGAAGCGCTTCATAAGTGAAATCGGTGATGTTAAAGCTCGCGATCTCATTGAGCCTCTTTGCCAACTCCAGCACACTGACCCTACGGTGTCCTATAAGCTCTGGACGACTCTATTCCCTATCTTCTGGTCTACTCTGTCTAAGGAGGACCGCATCGATCTGGAGAAGGGAATGGTGACTCTGATCACCCGCGAGTATCATCAACGACAACTTGACAAGAGGCCTAATGTCGTCCAAGCTTTGCTTGAAGGTGTGGTGCGCGCTAAGCCACGTTTCAAGATCCCGCCACATGTGATGAAGTATCTCAGTCGAACCTATGATGCTTGGTATACTGCTGCCACGTATCTTGAGGAGACTGCCATCAGCCCTATCATTGATACTCCTACTGTCCGTGAAAGCAACCTTGATGCTCTGGTAGAAGTATATGCAGGGCTGCAAGAAGATGACTTCTTCTATGGCACGTGGCGGCGCCGCTGCAAGTTTGTGGAGACTAACGCCGCCCTCTCTTATGAGCAGCAGGGAATGTGGGATAAGGCTCAACAGCTATACGAGAACGCCCAGATCAAGGCTCGCTCGGGTGCAATGCCGTTCTCACAAGGCGAATACTATCTCTGGGAAGATCACTGGCTGATCTGTGCGCAGAAGTTGCAGCAATGGGAGATCCTCAGCGACTTTGCGAAGCATGAGAATCTGAACGATCTCCTCTTAGAGTCTGCATGGAGGAACATCGAGAACTGGCAGAGCGAAAGTAGCAGGGAGCAGCTTGAATCTCTCATCAAGTCTGTTTCTGATGCGCCGACTCCGCGACGCACCTTCTTCCAGGCGTTTATGGCGCTACTTCAGTTCCATATCAAGAAGGAGAACATCCAGGAGTTCAACGGTGTGTGCGATGAATCTATCCAGCTGTCAATCAGGAAGTGGCTCCAGCTGCCGAAGAGAATCACGAACGCCCATATCCCAATCCTGCAGCACTTCCAACTGCTGGTTGAGCTTCATGATGCAAGTCACATCTGCGCCAGTCTTTCGCAGACTAACGAGCGCAACCTCGATACCAAGTCTGCCGAGTTGAAGCTGCTCTTGGGTACGTGGAGAGACCGTCTGCCTAATCTCTGGGACGATATCAACGCTTGGCAAGACCTGGTTACATGGCGGCAGCACATCTTCCAGCTCATCAATGCGACATATCTTAGCCTTCTGCCTCCGCAGACTAACAACGTGGCGAGCAATTCGTATGCTTACCGTGGATACCATGAGACAGCTTGGATCATCAACCGTTTTGCTCACGTTGCTCGCAAGCATCAAATGCCGGAAGTGTGCATCAACCAGCTTAGCCGTATCTACACTCTGCCGAACATTGAGATTCAAGAGGCTTTCTTGAAGCTGAGGGAACAGGCCAAGTGCCACTACCAGAACCCCAAGGAGCTGAACAGTGGGCTGGACGTCATCAATAATACGAATCTCAACTACTTCGGTGCTCAACAAAAGGCAGAGTTCTATACCCTGAAGGGAATGTTCCTTGCCAAGCTGAACCACGTTAATGAGGCGAATGAGGCATATGGTGTGGCTCTTTACTACGAGCTAAGACTTGCCAAAGCCTGGTCGGAGTGGGGACAGTACAGCGATCAACGTTTCAAGTCTGACCCCTCGGACTATGAGCTCGCCAGCAATGCTGTCAGCTGCTACTTGGAGGCTGCTGGTCTGTACAAGAATGCCAAGTCGAGGAAGCTGCTCAGTCGCATCCTTTGGCTTCTCAGCCTGGACAACGAAGAGGGTCAGATTGCGCGCGCGTTTGAGAGTTTCAAGGGCGATACTCCAGTTTGGTACTGGATCACGTTCATACCGCAGCTCCTTACCAGCTTGTCACACCGCGAAGCTCGTCTGTGCAAGGCTGTTCTCGTCAAGATTGCTAAGTTGTTCCCGCAAGCATTGTTCTTCCTGCTCCGTACGAACAGGGAGGATATGCTTAACATCAAGAAACAGCACGATCAGAAGCAGGAGAAGCTTAACCGTGTCAGACAACAACAGCAGCAGCAGCAACAACAGGCTTCTCCACGGCCCAAGCCTTCGCCGGGAGTTGCAAATGCCTCTCCCCTCCAGAACGCCCAAACAGTCAATGCCACTCCGACTCCAACTCCACAGGCACCCAGTGGTCAACAACCTGCACAGAACCAGGCACAGCCACAACAACAACAACCCCAAGCGCAAGCGCAAGGCCAGATGCCGAATGCAGGCCAGGCAAAAAACCAGAACCAGCCACAGCAGACTCCTGTTCAAGGCCAGGTTCAAGGTCAGCCTCAAGCTCAAGGTCAAGCCCAACCTCAAGCCCAACCCCAGGCACCTGTTCAAGGGCAAGTGCCCAACCAAGGACAGCCCCAAGCGCAACAGGCACAAGGCCAAGGCCAGCAACAAGGCCATCTGCAGGTTCCCGGACAAAATGGAGTGCCGCAGCAGAATCAGAACGCTGCTGGTGCGGAACCTGAGAAGGAGCCGCTCAAGAAGCCGTGGGAGTATTCCGATGAGATCATGTCCGGTCTCAAGACTGCTTTCCCTCTGCTGGCCTTGTCCATGGAGACCATGGTGGATCAAATCCACAAGAACTTTAAGTGCCCCCCTGACGAGGATGCCTATCGTCTCATTGTTGCGCTGCTGAACGATGGACTGGCTTACGTGGGTCGCATGCCGGGCTCTTATGCGCAGGACTTCAAGCTGCCCCCTGCAACTGAGGCGAATATCACGCGTTTTGCTGAGACCATTCTCCCTGCCCACATCCGCAAGTCTTTCGAGGCGGACTTTGTGGTCAAGAAGCCAACGATGTACGAGTACATCCAGAAGCTGCGTCGTTGGCGTGACAAGTTTGAAGAGAAGCTCGACCGCAGACCTCAGTCTCAATTCCTGGAGACGTATTCGCCTCACCTCAGTGAGTTCCGCTTCCTCAAGTTCGACGAAGTCGAGGTGCCAGGCCAGTACCTCCTGCACAAGGACAAGAACCAAGACTTCGTTCGGATCGACCGCTTCCTTCCAGACATTGATCTGGTGCGCGGTATCGGAGTCTGCCACCGTCGGCTGAAGATCCGCGGTCACGATGGTAGTGTGCATCCGTTTGCAGTCCAGCATCCCGCAGCCCGGCACTGCAGACGAGAGGAGCGCATCTTGCAGCTGTTCCGTATTTTCAACGGACTTCTGGGCAAGCGCAAGGAGAGCCGGCGCCGCAACTTGTACTTCCATCTCCCGCTTATGGTTCCATTGGCGCCTCACATTCGCCTGGTTCGGGATGACCCGTCCTACATCTCCATGCAGGGCATCTACGAGGACTACTGCCGACGTGTGGGTATCAACAAGGACGAGCCTGTCATGTTTACCATGGAGAAGATGAGGTCTCTGGCAGAAACGAAACAGAACGTAAGTGACACTGACACGCCCACGCAAACGAACGACACTGACGTCTTCCAGCGCTCCAACGACCAGCAGCAGGTCCTGCGTACCGAGATGCTCACTGCCATCCAGGAGAAGTGGGTTCCCAGTACGATTGTATTGGACTACTTCCAGCGCATGTACCCGAACTTCTCGGACTTCTGGCTCTTCCGGCGGCAGTTTGCTTACCAATATGCGGCCATTGCCTTTATGACCTACGTGATGCACATGGGCAACCGGTATCCTAACAAGATTCTGGTGTCGAGGTTGACGGGTGACATTTGGGGCTCGGAGCTGATCCCCACAATCAACCCGACCAAGGCATTCTTCTACAACCCCGAACAAGTGCCATTCCGTTTCACTCCCAACATCCAGACGTTGCTGGGACCGATTGCTACGGAGGGACTGTTTGCATGCGCATTGATGGCCATTGCACGCTGCCTCACGGAGCCCCGACACGAACTTGAGCAGCAGCTCAGTATCTTTGTCCGGGACGAGATGATGTTCTGGGCCACAGCCCAACACCGTGCACCTCTGGGACCACCGCAGCTCCGCGATCTGGTCTACAACAACAGCGATGTCATTGTCAACCGGGCCGTCAGCCTTGCCAGTCCACCTGAGGGTAACCTGCCAGCCAACCAAACCACGATCGACTTGATCTCCAAGGCTGTGAACCCGCAGCATCTCGCTGCCTGCGATGCTCTCTGGATGCCGTATCTGTAAAAGCTGGTCGCTGTTTCTTTTATCTGTTTGCCTTGTCTGTGTTCTCTTGGCGTTTTCGTTCGGGCTGAGGGCTTACGGGATTTCCAGCCAGTGGTTTCATTCTAGCGTGGCGCTTCGGGGCAAAACAGGGATCTTTTGCGTTATCTACTTGTTTGACGCGATTATGCATTGTTGGTGTATCACAATTATTTAATCAATCAAGATGTTCAGTTTAATATACCATGATAATGCCCGTATAGTAACAAAACTCCATGCTCATGAGCCGAACGCCAAACCCTCATAACCAGTAAAACTAAACCAACGACGGCTTGGCCTTCTTCTTGATCCCCAAGCTATTGACAGCAGGCTTCTTGGCCTTTTTCACCCTCGCAAACGAAGGCGCCGGCGGCGGCGGCATCTCCCCAGCACCGCTGGCATTAGCAGTGCCACTCCCACTCGCACCCACCCCATTATCAAGACCCCCCTCATCCTCGACAACCAACCTCCTAACCATCTCCCCCTCCTCCGTCCTAAACGCCCTCCTCGCCACCTCCTCAATCTCCCTCTCCACCCTCTCCGCCTCCTCATCCCTCTCCTCCCTCACAGCCCCCAACGCCACCTCCGACCCTCCAGCCCCACCCCTCTCAATCCGCGCATTCCTCGTCCTAATCTCATCCAACGCATCCGCAATCGCCATCTCCCGCTTCGAATCCAACATTTTCTCCTCCAACTCCGCCATCTTATCCCTCTCCTCCTGCTCCACATTCTCCCCTTCCTCCCGCTCCAGCCGATCAAGCACCTGCTCCTCCGTCTCCTCCGCCGTCTCCTCCGCCTTGCTTCTATCCCGCCACGGCTCGAAGTTGCGCTTCGCGCCCCGCTCCGCCCGGTAATCCACGTTCTTGGGATCCGTCAAAAAGGTGATTTCTCCGCTGCACCGCGTGCACCGGATGTAGAATCGGTAGATCGGAATAGAGAAGTATTTTTCCGATGTGGTTTCTTTTCGTGCGTTGAATTTGCGGCCTTTGTAGATGAATTCGCCTGCAAGAGTTTATTTTTTTGGGTTAGAATGAGTTTGAAAAGGGGGTTATCGGGATGGGGATGGGTGGAGGACGTACCGCATTTCGTGCATTTCATGGAGAAGGGCGCCATCAGTCGGACGGTTATTACTTTGGGGCCTTGTCTAGGAGGAGGATTTTGGTTAGATGTGGAGAAAAGGGTATAGGGATAGGGGGTAGGGTGTAGCGGTACTCACTGGCGAAGGTGCTTCGGTGTGCGCGTGATTGCGCTGGGATCGAAATCCGGGGGGTAGTATTTCCTGTACGTTTGAGGTTGGGTTAGTTCCTGTTGTCCCTTTCTTGATCTCTTGCGGATGTTGGGGGTGAGACGTACGTGAGGACCTTTCGCTCGGACATGGTGGCTGTTTAGATGTCACGGCCGAATACAAGTAGTTGTGGTTGTATGGGTGAAAAGGTGTTGAGGTTAAGTTGGATTTTGTAGAAGGTAAGTGTAGATGGCGATTGCGATGCGATGCTATGCTATCGGAGATGCTCACGTGACTACTTCTTATCGATGCACAGGTAGCTCAATGCTTACTAATTATGCTTGGGATCTAACTGAATGATATACGCCTCCAATGCTATAACCGAACCATGGTGCCAGCTCCAATGACAAAACCAGGGTATACCTCTCCAAACGCCCAGTTGCTATGCTCCAATGTTTCCCTGTATCCTTCAACTATGTCTAGCGTTGCTTCGCATCCGTGACCCTCGGCTGCGCCCTCCCGCCGGGCCTGGCGTGTCGTTCATCTCCATCTCCCGACTCACCCCCGGCTGTCGTTTGCTTCGTCCGCCGCGTACACGGCTCATAGCTTGGCGGAGAAGTCCATCGGCCTCATCATCAAGTTCCATTTCCACCCTGTCTCCCGCTGTCTCCTCTGTGACTGTTGTTTGGCTGTCGACGTGAGCAACCTCATCAGTCCATTCCTCGGCGTATGCCTCGTCCACTGTCCCACGTCGTCGAGACACTTTCCCCTTTCCCTTGGATGACCGTGTTGAGCTGCGGCTTGTGGTAGTCCGGGCATCTTCTAACACCACCGGCTCTTCCTGGCCTTCTAATGCCCAGATTTCCAGTGCCCGCGATAAGAGCGTGCCAGCAATGCCGGCACCACCAGCTGCATCACCACCACCACTGGCTCCCAAAACACGTACTGCTTCGTGCAGGGCTGTTACGGCTTCCATGGTGCGGTTCAGCTCCAATAGGACCAGACCGCGAGCAGTGTGCAGGGATCCGATCAACCCTCGATCCTCATAGCCTCCAACTCCAGATGATGCGACCCCAGAGGCATTGCCGCCGCTGCCCCCTAAGAACGGGCTGTACCCGAAGCTCGCACCCGCCGCACCAATGCGAAGACACTCGTCGAACTCGGCCAGTGACTCTTGGAATTGACCGATACGGCGCAGCGCATGTCCGAGGTTGGCTCTCGTGGCAACCCAGGCCCCGGGTTCACATTGAAGCGATGTGGCCAATGTAAGGGACTGACGGAACAACTCGACAGCGCCCTCAAGATGGTTCTGATGATACAAAACTACACCAAGCTCGTTAAGGACGAGCGGGTCACCGCCTAACGATGTGAGTTCCGACGGATTCGCCCTTATGGAAGGAGCAGAGCCGGACGCAGCCCCAGTCGACATGGCATAGGCGGCCGATAGATACTCATGGGCCAAGGACATGTTGTTAAGCGCAAGATGTTGCATTCCCAAGAAGAGCTGTGGTAGATGACTGCCCTGGAAAAGCCGAGCTGCAGTGCTATACGCTGCGATGGCTTGATCGTGCTCTCCTTCAGCAGCGAAGGTATGAGCGAAGCCAATCCATGCTGGCGCAGAATGCGGGTCCAAAAGAGACGCTTTGGAGAAGTAGCGTCGAGCTTCCGCAATTTTAGAGACAGATAGGTAGTAAACACCAATTGCGAGATATGTATAAGACTCCTCGGGAGCGTGATCGGCAAGCGTATGGGACAAAAGGAACAGGGCGTTTGTGGCGCCCGTCTCATACAAGCAAGCCAAATGCAAGGGGTATACGGCCGGCGGATGTCCCAGGTGGCTTTGAGCGGAAATATGAATTGCAGGCGTCATTTGCGACGATGCTGCAGACTGAGATGTGGACAGAACTGACGAAGTAAGTTCTAAAGCTTCGGCAAAACGGCATTGCGTATATAGAGCTTCTGCGCGAGAAAGCAGGATATCCGCATTCTCCGCTAGGTTGTAGTGCGTTGAGAGTGTTTCGGTAGCGTCGGAGAGGATTGTCGGCGAGGAATATTTCGACAATCGGGTGGTGTAAAGCATCTTCGTGAAATGGGCGGCCTCCTGGGCGACTGAGGGGTCGGGACTCGAGACAGAGTCGAAATCAAGCGACTCGAGAAATTCCAGCTCCTCTGCGGGAGACATGAGGGAATTCTTCATAAGCTGGTCAAAAGCCTCGAAGCACTGCACATCGATGCGTACGGCGTCCTTGTAGCAGTCGCGAGCCCGGTCAAACGCATTCTGTTTCGCAAAGCAGAGTCCCCGTAGGTAACACATCGCCGCCTCGAACCGAACGTTACTTGCATCCTCCCGCTCTCGCTCTTCGCCCCGATCGATGCGCGACGCTGTCGTCTTTCCGTTTCGCAAGGTAACATGGCTCTGACCGTTAAGGTGCTGGATTTTGCGGCGACTATTGCTGCTGCGTATAAGGTGCGTAGGATTATGGTCGCCTAGGACTGCAAGTGCTTGATCGAACTGATTCTGCTTGATGTGGCAGTGCGCAGCCAGATAGCGACAGGCCGTACTTCTCGAGATCAGGTCTTTCCGCGACAGGAGGGCCAAGGCACGGGCGTAGTTGTTGTTCGAAAAGTGTACTTGGGCGAGCCAAAAGGCATCGGAGTCGCTGTCTAGAGAAGTAATAGACTTAGCACTGATCGGGGCGATTTTGGATTGTGTCAGTCACTCACTGGTCAGCGCGAGCACTTTATCGCCGATGTAGATGGCCGCATCATGCTGACCCCGGTTCAGCGCATCCTGACGCCAGGAGCGCAAAAACTTCTCCATGACCAAATGAAGCACGTGGGAGACGAGAATGAGTGCGATTCAAGAGCGAGGGGCTGTCACAACGGTCGCATGGACAGAAAGGCATGAGGCGGGTTGGAGGGGCGACGGCGTCCGGGGAGCGTAAACAGACCGCGGCGTCCCCTCAGCAGGCAAGACACTCTCGCAAAAGGGGGTCGGATATCACGCTGGCAGTGCTAGATTGAAACACCGGGTACAGACCTGCGAGCAGAGAGGGATAACCGGGAAGGCAATAAACAATGGGTATTGGAGAATGAGAAGCTCCGTCGGATTGTTGCGAGAATCCAAAGTCCAAAGCGGCGCGTGTTCGGGTCCGTGCGTCTTGCCCGATCGAGAAGCCGGGCGGATGCTGCTTCATCTTCCACTGCCCTATATCTAGTCTATCTATTCTATAACTCTCTATTCTATCTACCCTTAATTAGGAGCAAAGTATACTAATTGCTCAAAATACTTTGGTCACCCGCCAGCCAACACTGGTCCCTTTGGCCAGAAACAGAAACAGGCAAGCTCCAGCATACGCCGCGCCACAGAACCCAATCAAGCCGGAATACTCCGTCTCTACTGTCCCCCGATTCTGCCCCTTCAAGATCTCACCAGCCACAGGAATGGCAACTAACAAGGCGAATGCCATCAATGCGATTGTTGTTCCGAATCGTTTACCATAGCTCTCGGTTTTCGAGATTTGAGCCACGCAGACGGGTGTCAGACTGATCGCTGGTCCGCTCCAGAATCCGATCAATGCCGCGAAAGCCAGGATGCATGCCCTGTCGGTGCCTGCTGTAAACCACAGCCCAAAGGACAGAATAGTACATATAGCACAGGTTCCAAACATAACGTTGAAGCGCCCCCATATATCCGCTAAGACTCCCGGAATGACGCGGCCGAAGATAGAAGTTGCGCTCATGATCGTCATGAGCTGGT